AGGCCTCACCCGTTGAAGTTGTCCACATTCTCGATCAGTCCAATCAACCGACCTTGGATGACTTCGTTGTTGCTCCTTGGAATCCATGAGGTCCCATTCGGTCTCCACCGTCAGATCCTTCTCAATCTTCTCCAACTCCGATTGGAACTCACTGTCCACCACCACCAAATACTGTTTCAAACACCAGTAATAGTCCCTCCATTGCAGAATCTCCTGCTCCCGGTCAGAGGGGTTGAACACTCCTGGACGGGGGATCAGTTTGGCCAGATCTCTGTTACTGGTCTCTGAGCTTTCTCCTCCAGCTGGTCCTCCTGTCGAAGATGCCGCTGAAGCTGCCTGTACGGCTTGAGTAGCCGCCTGAGCTGTTGCGATCAGGGCTTGAGTCAACTCCGGGAAGCTGGTGAGGTCGACGCCAACTCCCCCTGATCCATCCATGCCTCGAACTTGCCTTGCAGGATCAGTTCAACCTTCTTGGGTTCGACCAAGTAGGAGCTCCTCCAAACCCTCTTCAACCTCTTTGAAGTCCAGCAAAAGGGCAATCTTGTAGTCGATGGCGTTCTTCACGCTCGGTGTCCAGGTAGGCTCAGGCACCGATTGCGAGCTCTTGCAACAGTAGTATGGGTGGCTAGGCAAGGGTGTGGAGGCTTTGGGCCCCGGCCTCACCAAAGGCTCTGGAGCTCGGGCCAGAGCACGTAGCAATGGCCGTCACGGCTCCGCTACCATGCGAGCCTTTTTGAGCCTAGCTGTAAAGGGTCTTCGGTTACGTGTAGGCGGAATGACTTCTCTTTGTCAGTAACAAGAAGCTACTAGGGGCTCCTGGCCTTACTACTAGGAGCAAGAACGCTGCTAGGGGCTCCTGGCATCACTACTAGGAGCATCCTTACTACTAGTAACAAGAAGCTACTAGGGGCTCCTGGCCTTACTACTAGGAGCAAGAACGCTGCTAGGGGCTCCTGGCATCGCTACTAGGAGCATCCTTACTACTAGCAGCAACAAGCTACTAGGGGCTCCTAGGAGCAAGAACGCTGCTGGGGGCTCGCTACTAGGAGCATCCTTACTACTAGTAACAAGAAGCTACTAGGGGCTCCTGGCCTTACTACTAGGAGCAAGAACGCTACTAGGGGCTCCTGGCATCGCCACTAGGAACATCCTTACTACTAGTAACAAGAAGCTACTAGGGCTCCTGGCCTTACTACTAGGAGCAAGAACGGTACTAGAACCTCCTGGCATCGCTACTAGGAGCATCCTTACTACTAGTAACAAGAAGCTACTAGGGGCTCCTGGCCTTACTACTAGGAGCAAGAACGCTACTAGGGGCTCCTGGCATCGCTACTAGGAGCATCCTTACTACTAGTAACAAGAAGCTACTAGTGTAGTTCATATCTCTTCCCGAAGAAGGACGACGGTCTCCATCTCCAAGCGGCTCAACAGCCGTTCGGCCGAGTGGGCTGGGTCCTGGGCACCGCAGGGCACCGAAGTCCCGTTGACGACTTTTCGGGGTAGGAGCAAGGACGCTACTAGTAGCAAAGGGCATCTCTACTACTAGGAACAAGGTTTGCTATTAGAAACAATAAATAAATATAATTAGAATTGAAGAATGTTCTTTTTCTGCATTGTCCACCACGATAGCAGGTTGGAGGCCATCACTCCTAGAGGTTGGAGTGTAAGTCTCCCATCAAAGACACTCCGGATTCGCATGGTGAGATTTGCTGGCAGAAATCTGGGAGATTCTTCAACTGGAGTCTTTAGAACTTGTCCTCCGGCACTTTGTGGATCAGGCCAATGGACATGATCCAAATATAATCATATTCAATCCAGTTACACCATCCTATAGAACAGAATATCCTAGTCCAAGACTCCTGGACTCCTGGACCTGCTCCTCTTAACCCTCCAGTTCCACGGTGCCCGTGGTCCTTGCTCGTTCGGATGGGATCCAAGTTCAAGCTCGTTCGGATCAAACTCCACCACCTTTCGACGGAACGGCCCGTCTGCTGCAAAGGTGGAGAGCCAGTCGCCTTTTGAACCGAAGAGCGATGGCCTCCAACCTACTAGTGATGGCCTCCCTCCTTGTGCTCTTCACGCTGCCGTCAAAAAGTCTTTGATGATTGTTGCGTCTTCGGATGCAAAGAACGAAAAAGGCAACTTCAAAAGAATTCATGAAAGTCACGAAGCAGCAGCCTCTTGTCGCCACATGGCACAAACTCATGTTCAATCAACTATATAGTTGCTGCAAGAAAGGCCCGCATCATGTAGCATCTAGTCAAAGTCGCAGCTTTCTACACTGTAGTCTGGTCCGAAAAAATGATGCGAACCTTAAGACCACCAATATCCACCAATCAGGTCGACCGTTTACAATTTCAGCGAGTCATTGATTCATCTGCGAGTCATGGGAGCCAAACCGTGACAGTGAGACGGGTGTTTCCTTGGAGCAAATAAAAGCACAAGAACATAGGAGAACCGCACGTGTGCGTGACAAAGGTTCCGTATGGTTCCATGCAACACACGTCGCACCTTGCTGGGGGAGGTGGTGAACTCAATCGGCGGCTGGCTTCGGGAGGCTTCTGCGGCGGCCAGTTCCCCCTGAAGCCTGGCCGTGGCGGAAACCTGAGACCTGGGGAGACCCTGAAAGGTCCTGGAAAGGCCCTCAAAAAGGGCTTCAAAGCATTTAGGCAAAATATTGTATGAAAATCATGGATTAAGCACTTCCTTTTCCATCCTTTTCCTAGGCACAGATTGGCATGCTTTCAAACGCCAATCTAAAACCCTTAAGGCCCTTAACCGCTCACTCTTTTCCAACACCCTCACTCTGTTCCGCTCCACACCGGACCGGTGGCCGACTGCCGTCACCTGGTGATTTCGCTCTTAAGCTCCGACATCTCCAGATGGTGCCTCGCTCGACCGAGGAAGCTCCGAGGAGCGGTTTTTTGTTCGCTTTTCGTCGGTTAGAAGGAAAACAGGAAGAGACTTGGACATGGGGCATTCTCTTGGAGACAATCCGTTGGTCAAGAAAACCTAAAAGCAAACAGCGCACGCCTCACAGCGACTTTCTCCAAGAGCAACTCGAACTCTTTCATCTCGCTCTCACTCGCTTCGCTGATCCAAACCGACATCACGACACAGGATGACGCGGCCGTGGCCGATACGCAATGCCGGGCCAGAAAACCACGAGTCTTCCAATGGTATAATGGTCCAGTGATGTCCAGTGTACAATTGTTTAACATGAACATCCTTTTTATATATGTTTATTGTCTATGAGATGAATCGGGCCTGCTTGCCATCATACCCCTCATGACATGTCATAAACTTACCAAATCGACAACGGAATCACGGTGTTTGTGTTAACGACTTGCTTCTTGATCCGGTTCCCAGCCAGTCGGATGCCAGGCGAGGCAAACGAAAATCGACTCATCGACTTGGCACCGTTTCAAATAGCAAACATATTCCTACTAGCGTCCTTGCTACTACTAGTAGCGATGCCAGGAGCCCCTAGTAGCTTCTTGTTACTAGAAGTAAGGCCAGGAGCCCCTAGTAGCGTCCTTGCTCCTAATAGCTTATATAACTTGTTTCTGATCCTTCTTCTTTGCGAATAGCGATGGCCTTCAACCTCAACCTAGCAATGGCCTGTAAGGTCCTTTTGTGAGACCTGGTACCAAGCTCTGCCTTTCAAAATCAGGGCAGTTCTCAGGCTGAAACACTCCAAGCTCCTGGAATGAGAAACTCTCCGTTACCAAGAAGGACCCAAAGTGTCGTCGGTTACCGTCGGAGTTTTGCACCTGGTGGAGGCGGCGGCGCATAGCCATATCCTCCGTAGGCCGCGTACTGGTTCCTGTGAAGATCCGATACCGTTTGGACGGTCTCACAAACTGACGGTCTCACCCGTTTGGGCCGACTAGGACCTAGGACAATGCAAACCCGAGATCGCTCCAAAACCCAGTAGAGGAAACATTGGCGCTGCGGAGCTGAAGCCTTCACAGAACATCAACAAAGACAGTTCACAACTTAGTTTTGAATTTAGTTTTGAGGCCATCGCTCTTAGGTTGGAGGCCATTGAGCCCTTCTCATCACAACTTCTCCTCACCATGCGAACAAGAATCCAATGATAGGAGCCATAGGGCCCATAGGGATTGTAAGGCGGCGCGGCTGCGTAGGGATTTCCATAGCCGTAGCCGCCCCAAGCGCTCCCGTAGTAGGACTCTGGCCTGCGAGCTTGGGGATGTGGTTGATAACGAGGGAGAACTGGATCACAGGAGAGTCATCAAATAGTCCAAGAACATATCGTTGTGAGGAACGCTGATCGCAAGTTTTGGGTATGACATGCTATAACAGGTGCTTCTTGAATGGACATGCCACTAGTGAGTTTTCCCTAACGGGCAACCTTTGGCATCAGCAATTGTGCAGCTTCCACTGTCCGTCTCGCAGGTTTGACCAACACGCTCCAGTACCCTCTGGTGAGTCTGAGAAAACCAACAGGTTGAAGTTCCATGTGTCAACACATCGAAACGCAGCTAGAGAGCTAGTCACCGTAGGTACGTAAGCCCAAAACACAAAGAAGAGGGATTAGAACGGTTTAACTCTACTTCCCACAGCTGTAAATCCCTGCAACCCGTCTGTGCAATCCCCGTTCCAAACCACTTGTTACTTGTGACTTGCTCCACTTGTGACGTCGTCCACTGCCACCCAGGTACCCTGCAGCTGGTGCCACCGGGGACTGTGGGGTCTGCGGCCAACACAGCTGTGGACACTGAGCCTGGCACCCACGGCGTCCAAGTGCAAATCGGAACTTGGAGAAGAAGGCACTAATAGCGTCCTTGCTCCTAGTAGCGATGCCAGTAGCGATGCCCGGGTTCCTAGTAGCGATGCCACTAATAGCTTTTTGCTCCTGAAAACGGGGAGTTGATTGGATGGAGGCACCTTCACCTTTATCTTCTCCGCAGTGAATTGGCAAACCCATGAACATGTCAAGCATGAGGTTCCATAGCACATCAAGACAACGTGACACATAGCAGCGATGCCCTTTGCTCCTAGTAGCATCCTTGTTCCTAGTAGCATATGCGGCAAGTTTCCATCTGCCCACGGCGACGGTCCCTTTTCCCGCCGAACGCCGAAGATATGTACAACTGTCACCTCGGAGAGGGAGTCCAGGCTGCTCGGGACTCAAGAACTGACCAGCGGATCAGGGTTACCGGTTGTCGATCAATATCGATCCAATACGCCAGGGAATTGATGGACTCCATCGAATACCTATTGGTCGTCCGGTGACACGCGACCTAGACATGTAGATAAAACATGATAAAACAACTGCAGGGTTTGGTCTCCGCTCCAAACAGTTTGATCGAAGCGGATCGTAAAACGTCTCGACGGCAATCCTTCTTCCCAGCTGAACATCAGAACCTGAAGTGAAGAACGGGATTTTGGACACGATGGTAAAAAAACACATTGAAAAGAGATGAAAAGAGTTCTTTTTTTGTTCCAACCACCGAACCTTTGGTCAAAACACCCTTTGGATCCCCCGATGGAATGCCGAGATGCGCTGGCGGTCGGAGGTGCTGCGGTCCGCGTGCGTGCCTTCAAATGCACTTGAAGCCACGGCCTGGAACCAGCCCCGAGCAGTTCGACGCACACGTCGTAAGGCCCTTGTCACTAGCCTCCACGTTACTAGAAGCGCACTTGTCCTTCAGGGTTCGACTTTTCACCGGAAAGGCTTCACAAAAGGGCACCAAGTGCAAATGAAGACGAGAATAACAGTAAGTTGTCAAGAATATGGATCCAAGATGATCCAAGTGCATTCGATGTTGGTTCACAAGAGACTCGGAAACATCGCTGAAGTCATTCAACTGGATGGGCCCTGTAACCCACGAGGTGTTCAGAACATTCCAGAACCGTCACCCAAAGCTCAAAACCATCATCACAAAAGTAGTCGACTATGACTCCGAAAGAAAACATCAGTTGACAAATCGAAAGAATCAACAAGATTCTGCTTCAGGGTTTCTCATTTCTCTTGTTTTTTGTTCATTCCGCTTCTTTTCAAAAGTTGTTTTTCTCAAGAAGAAGGAAACACCTTGTCTTGTGTCTTCATATGAAGGTCTTCAGCGCCTCTGTCACTGGGCAAATCTCGAGATGGATGCCCTCGGATGTCCTGCCCCACGGTCGATGATGGCCACGCTGGTGGGCTGGATGTTGTGTTGTTTGGTGATGTTCCGTCCACTCCTGTGTCGCTCCAAAGTTTATGTGTTTCTGACTTTTTCTCTTCGGTGTGGTTGGAAGCAACTGATGAAGGGAGCTTCAAGATGTGGTTTTCTTTTGGGGTGCATGATTCATTAGATTCTCGAAGGACAGGGTTGAGATGGATTGGTGGTTTGAAAGAGGTCTGACTTCGCATGGTATGCCTGTTTCCTTCAAGCAAAGGGATCCGGGATCCATCGGCCACACGGGCAAGAACCTGGTTTGGAAGTTCTGTCTCGCAAGGGAAGGTTTCGTGGTGATAGATGCGATGCTTGTTGTGGCACCTGTCGTGATCTGCAAGAAACACATCTAGTGCGCAGCCGCATATTGGATCTTCCGTGCACACACACGAACGGCTTACCTGGTCAATTTGTGATGTTCTTATCTATCGTGGCAATATGAACGATAGATAAACCGCTTTTGAGATTCACAGCGACTGCAACTGGAAGTACTAAACGACTAGCTGTCAATGCGTAGCTAATAGCGATGCACTTGTTACTACTTGCGATGCCCCTAGCTATATACTAGTAGCTTCTTGTTACTAGTAGCGATGCCCGGGTTCCTAGTAGCGATGCCAGGAGCTACTAGTAGCGAACCTTGTTACTAGTAGCGATGCACTTGTTACTAGTAGCTTCTGGTGCCTTGTTAGTTTGGAAATTTGTCGCCTCATCTGTCCTTCTCGCCGAAGCACTCGACGGCCGCAGAGATGGGGGACACCAGGTTGTCGCCAAAGGACTCCTGCAAACGGTCTAGGTCCGAAAGAATGAGATGTGAATAGGTTATTTGAAGCTAGTAGAAACAAGTGCCATGCTAGTAGTAACAAGTGCCTTACTACTAGTAACAAGAAGCTAGTAGAAATAGGTTATTTGGGACATTACTAGGGCATTACTAGGAACAAGAGGCTACTAGGGGCTCCTGGCATCGCTACTAGTAACAAGGACACTACTAGGTGCACCTAAAAAGAAGAGTGAATAACTCCCCTTTAAGAAGGTGTCCTCCAGTAACAACTGTTAAAGGAGCCTTCTTACAAGGGGCTGCTCCATGTCTGGCCCCTTCTCCATCCTTCTCCTCCCTTTCGTTTTACTTCGTCGGATGACTGGAGGCGCTTTCCCTTCTATATCTATACTCACCAAAAACACAAAGGATTGGGGGTCCACATGTGGTTATCTTTTCTTTCAACATGGCTGCGAACAGCCTAATCCCTGACGTCATCCGCCATGCCAAATCGGAGCAGGACCCCACCACCCTACTCACATTGATCATCGGCATCGCTCCTTGGTGTTCTTGGAGTTGGACAAATGATCGTCTTGAACGTCGCAAGCGGCCAACATCCCGTGGAACTGTTCCAGCAAATCCTCGAGAGACATTTCCGCACGCAGTCGAGTCGATGGAGTCATCCAAAAGTAGAACAAGGGAGTCCGGACGAGTCCGGACATTGAGGAAATCGACTGGCTCAACATGACTCAAACCCAACACCAAAAATTCATCGGAATCGAGTCTATTTCGACTTCTGTGAAGTGTAACAACAAGTCTCATCTGCAGTGTCGATATTGCTATGATCCTCTTGGATTTTGTGAGAAAAGAATGTGGACTCTTTTTGTTGTTGAAGACTTGTGACTTGCCGGCTTTAACCAGTTAAGCTACGTACTGTATAGAGTTTCAAGGTCAGACTCATCATCATCTTTCCCCTCTTGCCAGCGCGTACGGCTCCTAGTGCCTATTAGGGGTTCTTTCGGCCAATAAATGTCGACACATTCCAGCAATATACCCCGAGTGAATGACGGCGAGTGATTGAACCATATTAAACCTTTGCTTGGCAACAAAGAGGTCTCTCTTCAACCAAGGTTCTTGAGCAACATCTGGGCTTAGGGAAGACGTGAACATCATGGTACAACCTCTTCACAACACCCTTTGTTTATCAAAAAAACCTTCGCGTCGAACTGCTCTTCACTGCTTCGTGGCCCCAGCGTCGATGAGCCCATCCAACTCCTCCTCTTGCGACCGCAAGGATGCCCGCTGGATCTGACAAGCAAACAGCGGAGCAAGGCACGGCAAGGCGAAGCACTAAGACACTAGGGTCTGCTCTCAGGGCCCCGGCCCAAACACGTTCTTAATATATAGTATATAAAAATAAATATCTACCGAAAACGAACACAAGAAAGAGTCTGATTCTTTGCTATCGACCGAAGCTTACAAAATGTCGAACGCTGTTCGTGTGTTGCAGTTGGAGCAAACTCAAAGTGGACTGACTTTTCAGTATCTGTTATGTTTTTCCTTTTTCATCTTCTTTGTTTCTTGCCAATTCCACATAGTCATAGGAGCATTTGTCCACACAGTTTGCGCACATGCATCAGATGTCACCAACTGCGACTGTGATGCCATCTGTAGCTGGAATTTGGACCGTTTCTCCAGATCCTTTTTCTGAAACTCTCACACTCCAACACGCCATCCACCCCATCTCAACCGTCGACACACCTCGTGGACTAATGCATAGGCCGCCAAACACAAGGGCCTCACATGCAGTCCGAAGAACGTTCCAGTGCTGCAAAGAGGGAATGGGGAGAGCTCTGGATTCCACGCGGCTCTTTCGAGTGGATTGTGGTTGTGAATGTCTTGGCTCTTGCTGTCATGCTCACATCCATATCAAGACAAAAGAGCCGACGCCTCAAAAGCATCTCTTAAGAGTCTTGCTTTTTGGATCCCAGTCCCGCCACCCAGCCTGAAAACTCGAGAATCCAAAAGGCAATGGTTCCGGAACCTGAGAGCTGCAACTTTGAGAAACACCAGGCACGCAACAGGTAGCTGCATCCGATAGGAAGCAAATCACCTAAATAATGTGCTGTGGCAATCCCTTTTTAAGGCGATCCATCAAATACCAATGAGAAAAATGGATAGAGCAAGTTTCCTCCGTGTCCGACAAACAGAAGTTGCGATTTGATCCAACTTCTACTGTAGATTGAACTGATACTACTCCACATTTCACGCGACTCATCACCGAAGCAAAAAAATAAACACACACACACAAACGATCCATAGCAAATACGTTTTAAGAATTTTGCAATGAAAAAGAACGCCCAAAAAGGGGATTGTAGGAATCCTTTCGTGCCCTAAAAGTATAGGAACCAAATCATTTAGTGCGAGCGCTATCCTGCATCCTACCTAGAAGCTAACTTAGCCCTTGCCTACTTAAGGAGGTAGGGCGGGCAAGAAAGAAAACACAAGAAGCGGAAGTTCCCTTTCATTTCCTTTCGAAAAAACAGACGTCGAAGCGAAGCGTTTGCCACGGCACATGAGCCGGCCGATGTCCCGGACGTGGGGCGTGTGCGCGGCGCGGGTGACGTCCTGGCTGCCCCGAAAGTTGTCCTCGGTGAAGAGAGGTGAAGAGGTGAGGAAGAGGTGAGGAAGAGGCGAAGAGACAGGGTTAGTGGAACAAGGACGCTACGAACGGGGCTCCTGGCCGTACTAGGAACAAGAAGCTACTAGGAGCAAAGGGCATCGCTACTAGGAGCAAGGACGCTACTACTTCCGAAGCACCTAAAGGACCGACGGAGAAGCCAAAACTGTGGACTGTGCTGGACCTGTCAAAGAATCCACGCTTCCGAATAAAGAGTATGTTGGAGCCCCTTCAGCATCAATTCACCAGATTGGGTTCCTCTCCAGATCCACCTGGAGAAGAGTAACAAGTAGTAGCTCCTGGCATTACTACTGACAAGAAGCTATTTGGTTGGAGGCCATGGCCACTAACAAGAATAACAAGAAGCTACTATATAGTAGCATATATCCTGTACATGTCGGGTTTTTCAGACTCTTAGAGGAGTGGAATGGAGGTATCCCTCGAATGACGGCAAAAGGACTGAACAGAGCGGACTGCACCCGCCTGACCCGCCTGACCGCCTGATCCATCGGTCCCAGGAGCGATGGCCATTTCCAGCGGCCCCAGCTGTGCATCGAGGAACTCTGTCAAGTCCTGAAAAGAACTACGTTGGCTACTGGAACAAGGACGCTACTAGGAACGGTGCTCATACAAATAGCCCTGTGCATCGACCAAGGAAACCCGCGTCATTGTGGACATGTTGCAGCAGAAACGAAGCGATGCAGTGAACGTCAAACGCGTCAAACGTGCACACCGACACCGGCTTTCCGCAATGGCCTCAAGCTCACACCACTCGAGCCTTAGTTGAAGAGCAATGGGCTCCAAAACCAAAAGAAAAAAACAAAGAAAGAACACCTAAAAGAAAGAAAGAACGAAAGAAAGAAATAAAGAACGAAAGAAGAGAAACCTAATAGCAATGGCCTCCAACCTAGAAGTGATAGCCTCCAACCTAATGATTCCTTGTCCGTGTTCCACGTGTTTATGGATGAGTACTGACTGTACAGTCATGTTCATGGAAAAATTTGCTGGGTGAGTGGGAAGTGGGAAGGAGTGGAGACGGATTAGAATGTCTTCTTTTGACAATCATTGTAAGTCAATCAGGGGCTGAGTTTTTGCAGGGAGTAATCATTAAATGTATCCAACTCAAAAGTATCCACTTTTCGGTAAACAGAACAGACGCGTAGCATAGCTCCAAATATTTATGCTCCAATCCTTCAGCGTCGGAAAAACATGTGCGAAAAGGAACTCCGTCTCGTCCGCTTTCAAGATCCTCTCTTAGACGGGATACGCTTGGGGTACCCTTCGGCAAGATTCTTGGATACCGTGTAGAAATCGCAGGATACCATGATCCCATCAAGATATCTACATTTGACCCACCATGCAATGCTGCCGTTGCATCCCATTTGGGCGTCCCTCGTGGCCCCCGGCGGTCCCCGGTTCCTATCCGCACAAGATTTGTCTCCCTAAGGTTGCAACGAACCTGCAGTTTGTCACCAAATGAATGATGTCTGCACTCAATGACATAATTAAACAGGTTTACAACACTTTCATTATCGAGGAGAAGGTCCCCCTGAGCCTTGGAAAATTGATATCCAAGGAGTTGTGGCTGTGGTTTTGTGCTGCTTGAGGGACATGGCGTGCCTCAGGAATGCGTGCCTCGCGCCATTGAGCCGCAGCTGCGCGGTGTGCTGGGCTCTGTTTTGCACTCCTTGGACAAACGAGTTTTGTCCCCATCTGAGTGGTGGACGTGGAATAAGAAGGGAAACATTTGGAAGCGGAAGATCGAACAACACGCTAGCCCATTTGCTGAGCAAAAGAACGATGAGGTTCGGATGTTGTCACACGTGCAAAGGACAAGTAATTCTCTTGTGCCCTTTTGTAACACTGTGAGGCGGGGTGCTTGGCATCAGCACGAGTGGATGTGCCATGCAATGCGTGAAGCAAACCAATGGAGAATCACAAATTGACCGAGCATCCACCCTCGGGTGACAGGCACGAGAGCCCAGACATCACGAAACTTTTTCTCCAAATCGGCAAGCACCTCAGTCACCAAACCCACAGGAAACCCAAAAACTGCGCATCCGCCCAACCTGTCACACACAAAACACCTGATCACGTATCTAACCAAAATTGACGCCCTCCAGATCAAGGCAATCGATCCCCATCATGTTTCATCCAAATGGGCCGATCCCAAAAGGGTTTTCGCTTGGCAGCAATCTTTGGGAAAACAACCGGTTTCAGACTTCAACCGTTTTTTGTTAATGCGGATGATGTTAGGTGAGGCGGATCACAAACTTAGGGAAGGACCAAGGGTACATCCCACGAATCACGAGCAAAGGACCCAGGGAGCATCTTTCCAAAACCGAGGCTTTCATTTTTTTGAAACCTTTCCATTTGTTGATTTCCAGATCGGGGCCGCTCCTGTTGCGCAGGGGCCATCCCCAACTAATACCTGTATATTTTTCCGGCCCTGACAATTGTTTGCGCCCGGTATTTCCGGTAATTGGCAGGGCGCGTGAGAAAAAGCATGAAAAGGAACCCTGTGCCCTTGGCAGAAGAACCGCCCAAGGCACATCCGCTCATGGTCCAACGAGATCTGGTCGGCGCCCTGACCCACCGGGCTTCGCTGGGGCGCGGCTGCCCCCACAAGTCTGGGCCCAGATTTTTGGCTGATGTTGCATCGCAGCCCCCAACATTGCACTCACTAGGCTGTGCTGCTATCCAACTCGAAAAGCTCACCTTTGCGCGAGCAAGCTGATCCAACAGCAGGCTGCATCAAGTGGGTAGCACGCGCTGGCCTCTGCACAGGGAGCAGCTGCCTGTGAAAAAGCGGCTCGGGCATCTGTCTCGCATGAGGCGTGGTGCGCTTCGGGTCCTTGCTGCGCTGGTTGACGGAATGTGCTCAACAAAGAGATGCGCCTAGCATGGTTAAGCTGAACGCTACATTCAACTGCTGAATTCCGTGTGGCCTCCTCCTCATTCCTCTCAATCTCAGGTTGCGAGGACCGCGTCATGCTCGATGAACCCTTCGCTACGCTTAAAAAAAAAATAGACGACGGGTGGCCCGAACCCGAATGCAACACACGTAGCACTCCTGGATTAAGCTCGCTTGGAATGAAGTTCCCAAACCTGTGACTTTTGGGGAGACCCGGCACCTAACGAGAATCGAGAATGGGACCTGGGGAACCGTTGGATGTACACTGGGGCATTTTCTGTTTGTACCTGCCAAATCAACTGCTCTCAGAAACATACTTGGCAGCGTTGGAGGAAGCAATCAATGGAGGCTTTCCGTGCTGGTCCTCATTTCAGGATTGGGGTTTTCCAATATGTGTGCTTTGAAGCAAAGACTTGACACCATGACCCAACTCACTATCTCTACCGGAAGCCGGAAGCTACCGTCCTTGGGCCCCCCATGGCCCTCCACCCACCCATGCGAGCAGACCGCCCAAGCGATACCCCAAAGGACAATCAGAGAAGGCATTTTTCCTCCGATTCTTTCATCAGATTTGGCACATTATGCTTGTGCGGGACTCACCATTATCAACAAACATTTGGCCCTCTTTGTCCAAAGTCCCATTTCGGCAAGTTATCTTCATTGGCTGCCCATGAAGGTCTTAATTGCCAAGTCCTTCCTCGATTTCCTCAAGCCCTGCAGACCATGTCTTCCAATTTGCGACCTGACCTGGAGCACCGTAAAGCTTAAGGTTTGTGAAGCAGGAGATTGGACGTGTCAAACAGGAATCCGAAGCCTCCGAATACTCTTGGGCCCAGAACACTTCCACATTCGCCGCTCGGGAAAAACGCAGAGGCCAAATGTCGCTGCTAGGAACAAGTGCACCGCTACTGGTAGTTTCCAATCTGTTTTCTTTGCTCGCCAGCTCTATTGTCATCCACCGTTCCACCCAGTGCCTGTGACTTGGCCGCCTCTCCAGTGGCCAAGTCATCCAGCTGATCCATGGCCTTCGCGTGCGAAGCCTCAGTCTCGTCTCCGTCTTCTCCGGTGTCAATGTTTGCTACGGACAAAGGGCCTTTCTATTAGTAACAAGAAGCTACTAGGCTCCTGGCATCGCTACTAGGAGTCCTAGGAGCAAGAACGCTACTAGGGGAAGCAACAAGAAGCTACTAGGCTCCTGGCATCGCTACTAGGAGTCCTAGGAGCAAGAACGCTACTAGGGGCAAAGGGCATCGCTACTAGTAACAAGAAGCTACTAGGGGCTCCTGGCCTTACCACTAAGATGGGCCATCCATCGGTACCGGTTGACGGAGTCGATCCTCAGGTTTGATGTGTATTTGTCAAGGATGTGGTCCTTCTGGATGGAGGGGCACGTGTGCGAAAATGTCTTGCAATAGCCCGGTAGAGGAAGCCCCCCAGCCCCTCCAGAACCCTCACCATACCACTTGATTCTACATTTGTGGGGAAGGTCAATCCAGAAAAAGGTCAATCTTCACCATGAAGTGTTCAATCCCACCGAGCATCTTTATAAATCGAACGAAGATGAAAGAAGGTTCGTTTCAAAAGAACAATCATGTGGACCATTCTCGCCCAAAAACCGACTTCCAATCTTCCGCTCTTCGGTGACCCAACTCCGAGGGACGCATAAGGCATGTGCTGCACACTTCGCTCGCAAACAAAGCTCTTCGGTCACGGACTCGTACCTCGGTGTTGTTCGTCGACTTCCCTACGAAACCAACATCGCTACTTGGGCTGCGAACGGGGTCTGGGAACGGACCATCGCATCGCTTCAAATCCGAAACAGGTGCCGCTTCATTCCGGGTGAAGAAGTAAATCGAAGAGCTGCAAACCACGCTGTTGTTCAATCCGATCTGTGAAGCTGCCGCGTGCCAAGGTTCAATATGGTTTCACCTGCTTAACGTGTCTAGTCCACTGTGCGGACAGAACACAACAGAACCTCCAACTCAACTACAAGTAGCTCTACACGGCGGGAAAGCAGGCTGGACCGAAACCTAGACTCTCTGTTGTGCTTTGAATTAGTTTTGGAATGTTTTGGACCAGTGACATCCTGAGACCAGATTAAAACCAAACATCGCTCAATAGATCTTGCCTTTTCGGATAGGCCAACTAACAGGTCCTGGATTTCTCCCACTCTTCAGCGCTCTAAGTGGCAGCAGGGCCCAACTGCTGGGTGTCACCAGCTTGTGCACCTGGGCGTCGCTGACAGAACTGGCAGAAGCACAAGTAGCGTCCTTGCTCCTAGTAGCGATGCCAGGAGCCCTTAGTAGCTTCTTGTTCATAGTATCGTATTTCAATGAATCATGAATCCCAGACCCTCTTGGACCTGTAAAGACTTCCTGCCATCACCTGCGGTGACACTCAAAAGCTTCGCTCTCTGCTCTAAATTGGGCCGCCTATACTCACCACATGTGCAACACGAAACCGTGTTTGTTTCAAATCCAGTCCACTCGTCACAAACGACTCGTAGACGTGCTCCACGGCACGATGGACTCGATAGAGCGCTCCAGGGCGTCGGGCAACGCCTCGACGCGCTGCGCCAGGCAGTGCGGCTTCACGAAGACTTGCGCCGCCGCCTGACCACCTGAGAAGGAGAGAAGAAGGCCATGACATAGGACGCTACGAACGGGGCTCCTGGCCTTACTAGGAACAAGAAGCTACTAGGGGCTCCTGGCATCGCTACTAGTAGCAAGGACGCTACTAGGTTGGAGGCCATCGCAATTGGGGAGAAGAAGCCGAGAAATCCCACGGCCACCTACGGCCATTCATGGCCATTCAGTTCTCATTCCTTGAGAGTCTCTGTGCTTGGGGTGTGGTGGTTTCTTGTGGTTTCTTGAGGGGACGCTGGGCTGGCGCAAGTGAGTTGGGAGGGTAGGTAGATGTAAGCAGCTCTTGGATCAATGTAGGGCCCTGTGCCCTTCTGCTTGTCAAATCCATCTCACCTTCGGAAGATTCAAAAACCGGTGGTGTCACACTGTACACCAATCGCATCGCGAATTGCAACACCCACAGCGTCGGTCGGAAGGTGAGTGCCTTCCCCACGCAAGGGCAAACCCTCAAACTCCGGCTCCCGAGGCTCCTAACGAACGTGTCACATGTGAACGCGACCGTGGAGGGTTTTGAACTGGCGCGAATTTTCGAGGCAGGTGAACTGCACGACTTTCTATGCACTTTCAATCTGCATGCTGTGAACCTCCGGAGTGTTAGACAGGGATGACAGGGAAAGGCCGTCCTTTCCACATCTTTCGGATCCCCCCATTCGCTCCTCAGGCTCAGCAGCAACAACCTCTTCCCTCCTGGATGCGAAATCGTCAAAAAAGGGTGTGAGTGAAACGCTGGAAGAAATGGACCTATGGCCTCCGTAAATGACCGATGGGGCTCTAACCATATAATCAATTAAGTCATGCATAAGCATGATCATAAGCGGCATCCGAGAATTATCATAAGCTTCTTGTTTCTAATAGCTTCTTGTTCCTAGTAGTAAGGCCAGGAGCCCCGTTCGTAGCGTTCTTGCTCCTGCGGCCTTCACTCATCGCAACCTCATCGCCTCGAACACGCCGGAGACGGCGACCGGACGACGGCCATAGATTTCGTCCTCTCTTCTTTCGGCGCTTCCTCAGGCTCCGCCTTCTCCTCGACGGCCACGGGTGGAGCGGAAGCTGCCTGGAGCGAGCAAGGCAGCAAGACGACGCTTCAAGGACTTCAAGGACGGCCGGAGGCCAAGACTTCTCAAAAGGGTCTTCAGGTGACCTGAAAAGGAACGTCTCTTCAGTCGAGCAAGATATAGTCTTTGGGTGTGTTGATGTTTTCACCTTCGGATGGAGAACTTGTCTGGTAGTCCACCCAGTCACCCAGTCAACCGAAAGAAACCAAGCGGTCTGAGTCTGATGATGTTGCAAACATCTGAGTAACCACATGGATTTGAAGATGTGCTTCTCTACCTGAGTTTCAAGGTCTTTGGAGATCCAGAGCCAACGGGCGTCCGGCCATCCTTCGGGCCTCCTCGGCCTCCTTCTTCGACAACTCCATCGCCAGCCTCAGCTGGGCCTCCTCGATGTGTCCTTGGCCACGACAGAGGGGCATGACCAAAGAACATGGCAGTCTTGACATGTTGCCTTAGAATTTTACCAAAATCGATTTATGAAATCTCTTGTCACGTCTTTTCACTGCTAGTGGGTGATGTCATGGAGGATCCTGCACACCGAGTGACTTGACGCGGCTCCACGGGAAGCTCCCGTGGACGCTGGCACCTGCGGATGGGCAGCGCTCGCAGCTCGCAAGATCGCGGTGGCTCGAGTGCATTCAAGAAATGGATGGTCATGTTCACGCATTTTCACTCATGTTTCATTGGTGAAATGGATTATCAGTCTGAAAAAATGACATGATGTCACCCCGTTTGCTTGTTGTGCAGCCTAGTGGCGGGGCACGGTACGGCTCTTGCCGGACATAAGGTGTTGCCAGGATTGATTGTGCATCTTCCAATTCTCTGTGGGAAAGCTGGATGAACATTACCCAACCCGCAGTGTTCAATTTCTTGGTAATTGCTTCTCTATCCAGAGATGACACTGCTGACCGTTAAGCCGTTAAGAGTTCACCCTCCAAACCTGGCAAATCTGTGGGTGACTTTCCTCTATACCTCCAGTAGATCTGTTTCACACCTGAACCACTCGCCAAAGAAAACACGTCAAATGCCATTGCTTCTTGCCGACGAATTCAATATTTGCAACGTGCGTGGCGTATCTTGTGCGAGAGCGCTTGTGCGATGTGATCTGTTGTCTCCCCTCGACTTGTACAACTACCATTTCACCACCGAATCAAGCTGGGGATCTGTCGAGTCTCCCACGGCTGGGTATGGTGATTGTAGGTTCGGCCAAAATTGCAGCGACTTGGAACGACTTCTAGGCTTAAAGGATGCTATTAGGTTGGAGGCCACCGCTATTAGGTTGGAGGCCATTGCTATTAGGTTCCCTTTCCATCACATTCCTATCTTTTTGCTTTTCGCTCCGGCCTTGGCCGGCCCCGCAGGCCCGGCAGGCGTCAGCTCCGACTCGTAGTCGTTCAGCGCAAAGACCGCCGCTTCGTGGGCCTCAACCGATAAGCACCATAGACCCAGATAGCTAGGCAGAATCCCCCGACCTGTTGACATGCGACTGGCTGGAACAAGAATGCACGCAGCCTGCACAGCCAGCTTACGGCACCTCCACAGCGCGCACAATCAGCTACAGCACCAGCACCCAGGACCACAACACCAGCACCAGCACCGACACCCTTTCCAAAGCGCGCGCAGCCAGCTCATTCTTATTTGCAGCAAGAACCCCATAGCTATCTATTTGGGGAATAACAATGTATGGTCTTGCGCGATAAGTCGATGCGCACAAAAGTATGCTCGCAAACAGCAAAGCCCGTAAGTGTCATTGGCCCAAGGCCCTGCAGTATCCAGCGTCACTATTGACTTTGTAGCGTCACTATTGACTTTGTAGCACGCTTGAAGCAACGATCTGCAGAACGATAAGGCCATATGATCTTGCGCGTATAAGTTTATGCGCACAAAAGTATGCGCACAGGCGCAAAGCCCGTAGGCTTCACTCGCCCAAGGCCAAGCAGTATCCAGCACGACTATTGTGTGTGTAGCATGCTGAAGCATGCTGAAACAATGGTCGGTTGAGAGCGTGACGTTGCGCACTGAACAATATACTATATACGTACAAAAGTATGCGCGCAAACAGTACAGCCCTTGACACAGCTGTCGGCAAAAACAGAACCTGAAGACTGAAGAGTGTAAATACCCCACAGCGCTAATAGACAAAGAACGCTCAAGCGACAACACCGCATGATGCTGCGTGCATAAGCTCACGCGGCCCATGACTGCTGGCACTTCATCGTCAGAAGCGGCGCTTGGTCGCCCTTCGCTGCTGCTGGCGGCGGTTTGTTACCCTTCGCTGTCAGAAGCGGCGGTTGTTGTCACTTCGCGGGCACCAGCACCGAGCACCCAGCACCGGCGCCGGCGCCCGCTGGCTCTACCACGCGCACTGCCAGCACCCAGCACCGTGTCTCCACCAGTGCGCGCACAAACAGCTCACAGCACCAGCGCCGGCACCCGGCACCCAGCACCAGCACCGGCACCAGCAACCTGTCTCCACCACGTGAACAGCCAGCTCACAGCACCGGCGCCGGCACCCAGCACCAGCAACCGTGCTGGCACTGGGTCGGCGTTTCGTGCTGGTGCTGGATCGACGCTTCCCCAAGCTATAGGGGCTCTTCCTTCTCAATGTGGTGGAGCTCTGGATCGGCGTTTCGTTCGCGCGAGGGATGACATCATGTCAAGCCCAGAAGGACGTCACGTCATGCAGGGATGACATCATGTCACGCCAGGGATGACATGCTGTCATTCTTCCGCGTGACAAAGTGTGCAGCAATGATCATACTGTCGTCCGGGCAGCTTTGGCTGGTCCTTGCCGATCTTGCATGCAGTTTTACGTCTATGTTGGGCAAACCGGGCGCGTTCAGCTGATTGACGTTGCGCGTATTGGTGAACTATAGTCTGATGTTGCGTCCTGCGGCGACAGCCGTCCGTGGCGTGTCCTTTAAACCTATACACCCGCTACCTGGGGTCTATGCTGGTGCAATTTCCTTTCTTCCAGATCTGATTGGGTCTAGTATCCCACAGTTGTCAAGGGGATGCGCTTCTTCACACTATTGGATGCCCTGTGAACCCCGGAAAAATTGGAAATCGAGAGTCCCTCCAGTCCTATTTTGCCACTCTTCTACCCACACACTCTCACACTCTCACACTCTCTCTCTCTCTCTCACACACTCTCTCTCTCTCTCCCTCTCTCTCTCTGCTTCAATTGTTTGCTTTGCTCTGTGCGCATCGTTCGGTCGTTTCCACTGAGAGACGTCCAGAGTGGGCGTGACGCTGAAGGCTCCACTGTTGCTGCGCGGCAGGTTGCCTTCCTGGCGCTGCAGACTTGGGAGGGTTGCTCGCACCCCCGTCGATTTCTCACCACATGAAATCCCTACTCGTTAGCTTCCCCACGGATCTTGACGGCCAAAGGGTGCAAATCACCCGCTTCCCAACTTGACAGTTTGGTAAGTTGAGACATTTACACATGGTTACAAATGGTGTCATTTAAAGTTAAAGAAGCTTTCAACAGGGCATGATCTTCCAACCCCAACCAGTCGGGGTGAGTGCGAGCCAGCTGACCTGGCTATGTTTTCTGCTGTGAAGCCTTGTGAGGTGCGCTGGCTAGCAGATTTCCCGTCCGAGCCAAACGTCCAACGTCTGGACCGTCTCGGGTCTTGGACACTTGGCACATCTTGGCACACTGACTTCATCCGTCGAAGAAGGCCTGGCCTTCTTCTTCTCGTCTCCGCCGCGGAAGTGCTGCCTCATCATCTCCCTGTGCCTTACAAAGGGGGCGAGAAGCGTGGTGACCTGGTGAGTGAAAGAAGAGTCGGAGATCTGAAACCGTGCGCTTGCAATGTGTTGCAACCACAATCTTCTTGGCTTAATGGTTTCGGTTGGAAACAGCAGGACACAGCAAATCTCAACATGCGAAGACGAACGGTTTCTGAGTCACAGCAAAGATCCCCTCGCCACTTGCGACATGAAAAACAAACTAAGTATACGCCACATCCCTTGTCCCGGTGGAGCGAGGGAACTGTCTCCGAGGAACTCCTGGGTGTGCCACCGTTGCACCGTCTCGTAGATGTCGACAACCGCTTCTTCGCTTAGCTCCACCTCCAAGTGAGGTCCAAAACGGGATCTGTTGGAAGTTGGAATTTCCAAGGATCCCAGGCGGGATCACACTCGTCCAACCGTTGAACGAGAAAGAATGTTGGCGCGATCCCCCGCAGGATCTCTGGATTCTTGCGGATCCCACAACTCCTTCTCTGAAGCACTCTGCAACCACATGTCGAAATTGAAGAGATGCAGTATTATTGTTTAGTAAGTTCAGTAAGTTCCTTTTTTGGTGTTCTTCTAAAACACAAAAAAGTCAAGACCTCTTCTTTTCTGGATTTGGACTCCCCAACCCGACCTGGTCGCTCCTCCCGCAGCGGAAGCGCATGCCGCAAGTGCCTGAATACAGACCGGAAGGACCTTGGATCCACCTCTTGAAGCCATCTCAGTGACAAACATGAGTTAGCAACAAAATGTTCAAGCAAACACAGTATATGAAATATATGTTCCTATTGCAAGCGCCAACTTTAGCAAAGTTGTGGTTCTGTCGCGAGACACAAACACGCCACGTGTTTGGCCAGCATGTCAAACAACTCGCTCCATCAATCCCTCCATCAATCTCCTCAACCACAATCCTACGCAGCCGGAACTCCCACAGCTCCCCGACCCCCGGACCTGTGTCGTTCGCCTTGCTGCGCTTGGCTTCGGGGGCCTCATGAGGCCCCGTCGCTGCGGAGTTGGCGGTCCCCGCCACCTCGGCCGCGCGGCGCTTTCTGACGCCCTCGGTGGAGAGGCCTCGGAGCGGCTGATGTGGCTGAGATGGATGAAAGTGTTGAAGCGGGATTTCGTCGACCTCGAACTTTGAGATTTGGGCCTCTCGTTTCCTATGGTTGGACCTCCAGGATGTTCAGACCCCCTTATTTGCCGTTCTCAGGAATATGGGTACCTCGGTTGGCGTGTGGCAAGCCGCAATCGGGTCAGTACGCAATATCTTGAGTGCGTGTTTTCCCCAGATAGCGAGCGAGAGCTATTTTGGTGTTCATGCTTCAAATTGAGGTGCCTGTGTGTGCTTTGGAGCTTGGGCGCTGGCGCCGCTGCCGGGTGTTGCTGCCAGATGTGTGTCCGTGTGCGCCAAAGGTCTGGTGCCACTGCAGGGTGCCGCTGCCAGATGCGTGCGCTGGTGCCGCTGTCAGATGTGTGGCCGCGTGCGCTTTGGAGCTTGGGCGCTGGCGCTGCTGCGGTCTGCCAGATGTGTGGCGGTGTGCGCCTTGGCTCTAGCACGGAAATTGCCCCTTGTCAACCTCAATTGTCTTGTTCGTTCATTCATCTTCAAGATTGCGGCAGTGGAGTCAGTAGAGCAACATTGTCATTGGACACGGCGCGCTCTGGCATCTTGGCTGGCAAGGGCGCTGCCCGACCGTTGCAAGGCGTAGCCCCCCAGAGACTCGTTGGACAGGACGCGCGATGGAAACCGCAAGGTTTATTGCGCTTTTGCGAGGGTTGCTGCGCTCGAGAGGCTCATATTTCCAGATGCCCTATTGGGCCTATGGCCCCAATCCTCGACTAGATTAACAAAAAACATTAGCAATGGTAGAAGGTGGCATGGGTCCACAATACGGCTGGAAAGAAGATGGCTGGGCATTTGGGTTCCTTGCTACTTTACTGGGCACATGTTGGAAAATGTGTCAAAGTAAAGGCTTCAATAGATTCGGACAGCGATTACATGTGGGATGTGCCAAGTATGACATGTCGCCACCATTGGCCAGGGATTCGGCCTGAAAAGGCAGTCTCCAACATAGAAGTGTCTGAATGACTCGTTCAGAAAGACCACCAACATGGCCCGGCAAAATGAAAGAACCCATACTGAAAGAGGGACATGTTCAATCCGGAGAGAAAATGCAACGATCATTGTTAAAATGTGTTTTTGCATCCTTTTGGAAAAAACATCCTTGGTTGAACATTCCACTGAAAGGACCTCATGGTGTTGTCTCAAAAATTCTCAAAAGGTCGATGAACAAAAATGATATACCCATTCTGAACACTTTCTCCACTTGAAACTGCCCTGGCGGCGGCGTGTACTGGTCCGCTTTGTTGCGGGTTTTCTAGTGGAACAGAACCACGGGTGAGGCGACGGTCTTTCTCCTAGATCAATCGCCGAATAGATGGGGGTCATCGTCCGCCTCTTCGACTTCGGAGGTTTATGCAGACACCCTTGCCATCTGCCATCGACCGCCGACTGTCGACTCCCATAAAATCAACGTTTTCTTTCACGGGTTCACGGGTATCGCAGGTTTTTGCCAGAAACGTGCTCTGAAGAAAATATGACAAACAACTTGAAGGTCTGGGTCAAAACTCAAAGGAAACGACGTGATCACGACAAGCACAACATACACCCCCAACAAAAGCTACAGAAACAGCTTGAGTCAAACCATATTTTAAGACCAGCCATACATTCCAAACTCACACCCCGCCCCGCCCTCCCTTTTTCTCTAACAATTGCCAGTGGCCGAGCGGGCGTAGCAAGGCTTGGAGGTATTGCGGCTCGTGCTGCAGCGACGCCCAGCGGAGGAAGGTGGGCACGGCCATCCGACGGCAAACCTCCGCAAAGATCGGCCGACGCCACGCCGCGGACGAACAGAGACCCGTGATCTCGGCGGTGAAAGCTCGGCGCTTCTTGACCTTTGTTTCAAATGAAGTCACTCCTCTTCTTCGTCAGACTTGTGCGCCCTACACTTTCTGTCTTCAAAGGGTTCATCAGCATGTTGAGAGAGTTGGACTTAATTGAGAACATTGGCAAGGCAAGCTTTATGCACTTGAAAGCAAAAATGTCTACCCAAGGCTCGATCAGCAAAGCGGCTCTCGTTTCTCTTGCGATGCTTTGGAGTAGCGTGGGTCTTCTGATCCCACCTGTTCCCGGTTGCCTTGGCATACACTCCAACTGCGCTACCAAGCAACCGTGTGCCAGGCAGAGCTTTCCCGCAGCGTGTGAACTTGGTGTGAAATAGCATTATCCCCCCTCAGGTGGTCACCCACCGGGTCTGGTCACGGACACCTCGGCGAGCAAAAGGCCCCTGGAAGCATAGGCAGCCGCGCGTCGGATGTAAAACCTTTAACTTAAAATCCGGATGAATCATCGGCCCACTGGTTGAATTCCTCGGAATGTGGCTTGGTGCCACTGAGTAGCCTTTGTGGTGGAGAAGCATTACCCGTTCCATCAGGAGGGCTGTGGTGTGGGGCTTCTTGGACGAGAGGTCAACAGGCTGAAGAGGTTGCCAGTAGTCTTAGTCGCCCTTGCGAAGGTCCTTGTTGCCACAAAAGGTAGCAACGTAGGATCACTGTGCCCAGAAGTTCGAGAGCAGCAATCCGTTCTGGTGATTGCCTTCCTTGAAAGCCCAAGGCTGGTTTTCTGGTCGGATAGGGAAGTGGAGCCAGGTCGAGGAACACCAGCCCCCAACTTATTATGGGCTTCATGTGTGGTAGAAACACTTGCGTCACTGCACCCCCACCACGGGCTCTTGGGAAAGTAGGCGTAGCTCAAAAGGCTTGATGAAAGGGCCCTTGGGGTCGTCTAGAGGCTGCAGCAGGGGCTTGGTAAGGGATCAGGAGGCGGTCGCCCACTGCACACGTCCCATGCGAAGGAGACATGCTCGATCAATTCATTCAGACTCTGCGCGCTGCTATCTGTATGTGGGGGATCTGAGGCATTGGTGGCAGGGGCAAGTGATGCTTCACTTCCAAAGCCCGCATGGCATAGTCTTCTTCAGGGCCTTGACCTGGCCCTGCAGGTCCAAGCTGTCCACCCTCGTCCAATTGCGCAGCCGCTTCCTCAGTGTCCTCCAGGTCCAAAAATCAAAGCTCTCCGTGGTCGCTAAAGATGCCATGGCAGTGTTGAACGAAAGAAGCAGTCGAGTGTTTTCACCATCTGAAGTGGGGAGCATTTCACTCACTTGAACCAAAACGTCCCACAGTGGGAGATTTTGGTGTATCGTGAACATAAACCTTGCAAACGCAGGCTAAATGGACGAATCTATCTGCCTTCAGGAGCCGTTCTCCAGGGAGAATTTAGATCAGAAGTTCTCTACGCCATGTTTGCCTTCTCATGATTTCTGGATGAATGGTTCAGGCATGTTATGGTAATACCAAGTAACAGTATTCCCTTTCACACCAAAACCCCAACATCCGATGCCATTGCCTTGGCGCTGAACCAATCCCAGCCAGCCCCCAAGGATGGTCCATGCTTGGACCAAAGCTGTCGTCTCACCTCAACTCGCGACTCGAAACTCAAACAAAACCAAAGCTGTGTCCCGCCAAAGGTTTGCACCTACTCGCTTGCCGACCAAGGTTTGTTTTGGTCAAAGAAGGCGGTTGCTCAACAGTTCCAAAATGCAGTACTTTCTAGAATATGCTTGACTACTCTCCACACCAAGCACCTGAAGAAAAACACACATGATCTACGGATCTGGGTCATGCATGGTCATGCTGAGTGCCTAGACCCTTGCGACAGAACATTGCCTTGGCCACTCTGAGACCTGGCCTGCATGGCTGCTAAGAGTGAATAGCGCAGCGGTGGCGGAGCGCAAATCATCAGGGGATCCCACTCCAAGCGCCTCGCCGTTCGCAGCGCTCGCAGCGTTCGGAGCTTTGTGATCTTTCAGGCGTCAAAAAAACATCGGACTGAGCCTGAACGAAAACATTCTTTTCTGATTTGCTTCCGTCGTCCGTAAATCTTTGGGATTTTCGTGCGTGCCTGGTGGCATTTGACTCATCCCACTCAGCCAAGGTCTTGAGACCCACGTAGTGCCTTTCAAAGTTCCAATCGACTGATCACGTCTACGTCACCGATGGTTTCATCGAGCAAAAAGGGAACCAAAAGCAACGGTTCCCTTTAAACAGAAAAATGCACGTACCGCAGAGTTCTCTCTAGGTTGGAGGCCATCGCTATTAGGTTGCTTTCTTTACCAGAGTCAATTCGCCAAGGTGTCACTGTGTCGAGGCACTTGGTGGTGCCCCCCAAATCCGCGAAGTCGCGCAAGGTCAGCAGACTCCAGAGGCCTGGGATCGGAAGGAAATACCAAATAGACTGCGAGACGGAACCCTGTTAAAAGAGTCGATTGGATGTTTACTATTTGCCAAGCAAAAGAACATATTGCTTATACCCTGGGAGTCCAAGACTATAGTGAAAAATGCCGTTAGGCGACCCTGGTTCAGGAACTTCCTCTACTTTCAACGTTTATAGTCTTGGGACTTCCGTATGTATGGTGCCCCCCACCATCAGTCCCCGTACCCATAGAAACTCTGCAATAGAAAGTTCCGATCTATTTGCTACTAGTAGTAAGGCCAGGAGCTACTTGTAGCATCTTTGCTACTAGTAGCGATGCCCTTTGTTACTAGTAGCTATTTGCTGGTGATATTCTGAAATTCACGGTGTTCTCTGCTGATTTTGAGGTGCCTTTCAAATCACACAATGCCCACCTATACTTAGAGCATCTCAGAGGACACACACCTTGCAAGATTTGCAAGACGGTTTGAAGGTTAAAGATTGGAGTGGATTTGAGGAAACTTAATTCTGGATATGTATACAAGACGAGTGGGTTGAGAAGAAGGTTCACTGAGAAGCATTTTGCAATATGTTCCATAAAGGAGTGGACTTGGGAAAAAGGATTCCTTTCTGAAGGAGAAAACCTCTAAGCAAACAAAGGCTCAGAAGAAGTGAGGGAATCCTGGTCAGTGCTATGGCCTCCAACCTAATAGCGATGGCCTCGAACCTACAGGGATGGCCTTCCATTTCTGAAGGAGAAAGCCTTTCAAAGAAGGAGAATTGGATAACGAGAAAGATTATACACTCCAAAGTGATCCAAAGCAAGGTGGGTACCGGGGGTATCTGCATTATTCTGTATTGGTATCGCTGCTCCTGCCGGTGTTTTTGGTCAGCCAACGAAAACGTCTTTTCGTCGCTTCCCATCGCTTTTGCGCCTTCATTGCCGTCCACGGCCACTCGCATCTGACGGCACAGCGGTCGCATCCGCACTGCCGTCACCGCTTCCTCGAACACCAACGAGTGGGCAAACAGTTCGTAAAAGGGACCGTCGGAAAACAAATGCCACGTGGACTCTTAGACTTGTCCGAACCGACCGAAGCACAACCGAGTTTGAAGCCGATACCATCGGTGGAGACCACCCCCATCCGCACTTCCGTCTGCTTGGAAAAGGACGTAACTGATCACGAGATGGACATATATGAACATGTGAACCCGCAAGAATGCCCGCACCGGCAGGGGTTTCGTAAAAGCAGGTTCATAAAACAGCCATCAAAACATGCAGCTATGCTGTTTGCAGTGAAGAATCGTGATGGAATATGATAAATATTGATGAATCTCTTTGCCCAAGGCTTTCATCTACCATCCTGTAATGGGTTGCCACCAGGCTTTTTCAGTACCAGCCACTTCAGAAGAGCCATCTGAAACGGATGCGTCTGGCTCACTGCCGTATAACCCTCGCAGAAACCAAACATCTGTGCTTTTGGTGTTGTTTGCCTTGGGATACTTGCATTCTCACAAAAGAAATGACGACCACCGAGCCCAGACTCTGAAAGAAGCAGCACCGAGGACAAGACCTGAACGGGACGGCTTCGGTGCAAACTGAGTCCATCGCTACTAGTAGCAAGAAGCTACTGGGTGGAGGCCAGGGTTCCATTAGGCATGCTTCCTTTGCCAGTTTGCGTCTAAGAATGATTTCTCAATGCCAGTGGATGGATACTTCGCTTGAGTCTCCTAGCATGTCTGGAGCCAAATCGCTGTGCAAAAGGTATAGTTATATAGTCTACATTGCATTGCTCGGTTGGTGGATGCCAGTGCCACCGTGCGGCAGGCCCAGTGCCAAGTTGAAATCTTTCTTTCACTCTTGTTCCTAGTAGTACGGCCAGGAGCGCCCCTAGTAGCGTCCTTGGTCCTAGTAGCAGATGCCAGGAGCCCCTAGTAGCGTCCTTGCTCCTCGTAGCATGTCTCAAGTGTCCGACACATCATACTTGCAACACAACGAGGAAATCCGTTTCACAGGGTCAGCGAGCTAGTCAGGCACTGAGGTAAGTGGTGGAAGTGCTCTGTTGTACTGACTTGAGAGAGGAGGGGGTGAACGAAAGGTAGCAGGCAATCACAAGTAACCCTGGTAGAAGTTCATGACGGCGTGAACCGGCGCAGGGGGGATTTGATCCAGGGGGGCCCCCCCCCCGACGACCAGAATCATCTCTTACAGGACCAAACTCAATGCACAATCCCAACTCCTGATTGTAATACATTTTTGCTAAAGCAAGGAGAACTCAGGTAGCTCAAGCTACCTTTCGTGACATCAAAACGTGGCAAAACGATAATTTAAGCTTTTGAATTGAAACACCAGTCACAAAACCTTGATGATCTAAGACCTTTCTTCCTTTTCATTTTCTTTGTTTATAATTGCGATGGCCTCCACCAAGACTTTAAGCTTTTGAACTGAAACTCTTACTCCTACCCACCAGTCGCAAAACCTTGATGAACATGAAACCCTAGACCCGGCAAGCACGGTGTGCCAACAAGACCTAGTTCATGTGATTCCGGTGAAGGAGAGCTTGTGTCAACTGTGCACGCTAGTAAAAATACGTTTCTGTCACAAGTCCACCATCGCTAGTAGGTTGGAGGCCATCGCTACTAGGATGCAGGCCCTTCTTGTTCTTCTCACTCTTCTCACTTCTCAAACGGGAAACGGTTGACATCTGTCCTCAACCGAGCCTCAACCACTCGACTCTTGACCACAAAACGGTCGGCCTCCGGTGGACAATCCAACAATGGAAAGAGCGAGGTGTCATCCTGGCTGCCGGCCGGTACCGGCCAGAAGAAATTTGCGAATGGGAGATGTGAAAGAAGTTCACACTGCGGTGCCAGAATTGATGTGGTCAAACAAGGGGATTCCGTGAACGTATGTTTGCTACGTTCGCTCCGATTGATGGATGCTTCACAACGTTCGACCGGACACACAGTGATCCTCGGGACTCATCGGAGCAGGACCTCCATGCAATGTTGTTTTGGATCAACTGGTCAGATGGGCACTGGCATCAGTAAAGCATTTTAACATTATACCAGCATACCCAAACAGCTTCGTCAGCAAGAATTGTCATTGTTGTGGTGGGCGGCCGCAGCCCCTGCCTCAGAATGCAAGGTAGTCAGCGCGACAGCAGCAGGATGACAGAAGGACATGAGGAGGACAAGAAGGCAAAAGGACGAGGGAAGGAAAACAACATGAAGACACCAAAAGGACAAAAGAAGGACAAGCTGTGACCGGACAACGCCAAAAGGGACAACAGGACAACATAAGGAAGAGGAGAAGAGGACGACAGGGCAAGAGAAATACAAGACGGCGACTGGAGGAGCACGACTGGAGATAGGCTGGCAGCCGCAGCCAATGAACAACTGAAAGACAACAAGAAGGCAAATGACGAGAACAGGGCCGAATTTTTGCGACAAGAGGATAGAGCACATCCGGACAGGGACAGGGCTAGCCAGTGCGGCCTGACGCCGTGGCCAGCTTTTTTCCTACGAGAGAACTGAGAGAACTCCGCGTAGAGGACAATAGTGAGAGGTTCGCATGCTGTGCACGTTGTCTTGCTGTGCACGTTCGTTCGCATGACAGGCTGCCACGTGGCCATGCTGCGGGACTGCGGTCTTCGCGCTTGCCAGCTGGCGGTTTCCCTCTAATTAGGTGCCGCGCAAGGCTTGCTCGTGTGCCATTGTTTTCTCGCATTGGGCCCTGGGATTGCGCTTGAGGACGGTGCTTCGCGTGCGCACGTGCTGCGAGCAGAAGAACACAAAGGGGACAAGAAGAGGACAACAAGAGGAGAAGAAGAGGACAAGAGGACTATGACACCTTCTACTGTATATAGAAAACCCTTCTATGGGATATCGGATATGTGTCACTGTCATGAGAAAATCCGAGGGTGATATAACATTTCAATTTCAAACGCTGTATCACTGCTTCATAGCCACACAAAAACATACCCAGACAAGGCGGTGGAGAAAAAGCGGCGTGGCCAAGCAGTGGACAAGGTCCGGACAAGGCGGTGATAAAAGGGCCGACAACGTGGACAAGCAGGACAGGCAAACCTGGACAAAAGGACAAGAGGAGGACACACAGGGTTTGCAACCGCAGCCACTGGCAGGAGGAGGACAGGAGGACCAGAGAAGGACGCAGGGCTCGCCAGCGCGGCCACAGGGCGGCAACAGGAGGAGGATAAGCGGAACACAAGGTTCGGCGTGGCCAGAGACTGTGGCCAATTTCAGTTAACTGGTTGTGGAAAAAGGACAAGAAGAGGACAACACCAGGGCGGGGCCATCCAGTGTGGCCAGCTCTCTTTTCCTCCAATGCTCCCGTTTGGGCCGTCGACCGCCACGTTGAGACGAACGCGTCACGTTCGAACCGCCTCCAAGAGATCGGCCAATAAGTCCGCACGCTCCTCGCGCTGGGAATCGGAATCCGGAGACGATGAGAGGAAGCAAGGTCTAAATGAAAAGCAACAAACACAGGAAGACACCTTATGCCTGCTTTCAGACCAATGGGATGGAATCTGAGATTACTTGATGTTTTTCGCATACTAGCGGGTACACCGGATTCTGTGGAGCTTTCTAGAGATTCTAGGGAGTGCTTTGGTGCTCTCAGAGTGCAGGGGTACAGCGCAATATTCGAATCATATCGATCCATCACCTTCACAAACATGTTGAAACTTACAACTAGAACGAGCTGTGTTGGTAGTAGCATCCTTGCTCCTAGTAATAAGGCCAGGAGCCCCTAGTAGCGTCCTTGCTCCTAGTAGTACGGCCAGGAGCCCCTAGTAGCGTCCTTGCTCCTAGTAGTACGGCCAGGAGCCCCTAGTAGCGTCCTTGCTCCTAGTAATAAGCCCAGGAGCCCCTAGTAGCGTCCTTGCTCCTAGTAATAGGCCCGGGAGCCCCTAGTAGCGTCCTTGCTCCTAGTAACAAGGCCAGGAGCCCCTAGTAGCGTCCTTGCTCCTAGTAGTACGGCCAGGAGCCCCTAGTAGCGTCCTTGCTCCTAGTAGTACGGCCAGGAGCCCCTACTAGCGTCCTTGCTCCTAGTAATAAGGCCAGGAGCCCCTAGTGGCGTCCTTGCTCCTAGTAATAAGCCCAGGACCCCCTAGTAGCGTCCTTGCTCCTAGTAATAAGCCCAGGAGCCCCTAGTAGCGTCCTTGCTCCTAGTAATAAGGCCAGGAGCCCCTAGTAGCGTCCTTGCTCCTAGTAATAAGGCCAGGAGCCCCTAGTAGCTTCTTGCAACGAGATTTGAGGATCTGAGAGGACCCCATGCGCTTCAACCCTGGGCTGCTTGGACCACACCCAAGCTGACCCTCCTCGTAGGAGAAGTCCAAGTCCTGTGCGAACTGTGCATCGTCCGCCTGGGCGAGGTGTTGCAGAAAAACCCTTCGAATCATGCCGTTCTTTTGTGAGAAAATGGGACGAGTGAATTTCAGACCAAACTTCTTGAAAACAAAGGTGTCCACTTCTTGGAGACCACGACCACAGGATGCTTCCCGCTTTAGGCAGGACATGCTGCGGCGTTTCTCGTTCTCACTCGGCCACTTCCACGATCTTGTTCTGGAAGCTTTGGTCGTGCTGAACCATCCCTTTCGCAGAGACACACTGCCAAGAGACATATCCACACGCTTAGCTGACAAACAGCGCCAATAAAATCACTTCCAAACAGCGAACGGGTCGACGGTCAGGTCCCCCGACTTGTCGTTGCCGTTTGTCCAGCAGCCCAAAGATAGACGCCATGGCGTGAAAGCGAGAGGAGTCCGGAGAGGAGAGGATCCACAAAACAAGTTCTGGTTTCAGTCGGAGATTGAACCTGCTTTTGGCAGATGAAAGCTGATACAATCCGGGTGAAGTCAGTCTTTCCCTCATTTCTTTGTCTAAACCTGTATCTATGGAGGGCTCCTGATGTGTCTCTCAAAGCAGCTTGGAAGCGGCTGAACATGATACACACCGCACACCACAAAAAAGATGGCATGCCTGACACCTCCACCTCGTTTCCAGAGAAAAACTCAGCTACTAATTCCATTAAGTGAGAGGCTGCTCTATCTTTTTCACACCAATTTCATGTTTTGGATGACATGATGAATGACTGGTTTGCAGAGTTAGATAATCTCCTCAAACGTGGGCAACCTGACATTGGCAGTCCATTCTGGTCCTTGTTTTTCTCATTGATCTCATAAAGCTGCAAGCTGCGAGCAGTCCACACCAGCTACAAGATCCCCTTGTGGACGGATCAACCTGACTTGGGTGTCCCCACTCCACAAACCAGGAACAGGAGGGAATTCAGCATCTAAGATTGGCGAAGCGTGCTTTGAAGAGGTCACGCCCCCTTCAATGTAAGTATATAAGCACGATAAGTTACACACTTACAGTTAATCATTCTTTGAGCTTGCTCCATCAAACATGCTCTCCATCCAAGTCCGGGACCAGCAAGACTGGACCGGAAGAAACCTGTTTTCGAAACCACAGCGACCGGCGCACCCGCCGGAAAACCCGAAGCGTTATGCAGACCTCGGGGGATGGCGATGGAGAGACAGCCATCTTCGGTGGCTGCAACTTGCCCTGCGAACCATCGAGGGCAAGTGGCCGAAGCAGAAAGGACTCGGCGCCTCAAATATCTCAACACTTGCTGGTGAGGACCAAATTCTGTTGCTACTTGGTGACAATTGCACGTTAGTGAAGGATAGCCCGATGAGAGAACAGCACAAACTACTTCGCGGGTGTTCAGTGTGCCGCCATAGAGAAGGAGAAAGGTAAATTGAAACAAAACGGCCGACATTCGCCCTCTACTTCTCATTGCCATTTCAGAAGACTATGCAAAGAGTGAGAGGGTCTCTTTTGCCAGATTTTCTTGGTGCACAAATTTTGAAATGTAGGAAATGTGTTTATAATTGTTTACACATCTTTGTGGGGAGCATTGTGTTGAAATGTCGGGACAAACCTTTGAGAATTCGGTCGAGCTTGCTCTTCGACCATCTCCCCAAAGTCAAAAGGAAAGTCGGGTCATCCTAGGAATCTACGGACCATCCTCTTTCAGTCTTTCCTGAGCTTTCCATTGAGGAAGAGATTTGATATGTTTTGATCGTGGTCGTAGTATACTAGTAGCAAAAGCCAAGACTGCACACTTTAAAGCAGGAAAATGTAAGCTACACTTGGGAGTCATCAAAGTGCACCATATATGCGACCCCCAGGTCCGTTCTTCGCGTCAAAAGAACCTGAAAAGACAAACACTCGACGATCCCGTAACAGTCCACATGTTCCGACCGTGGGCAGCCAATTTGGCTCTCGGATCGAAGGACTCAAAGGACGAAGCAGGAGCAAAGGGCATCGCTACTAGGAACAAGGGCATCGCTACTAGGGGCTCCTGGCCTTACTACTAGGAGCAAGAAGCTACTAATGGTAAGGCAAAGCAAAATGAAGAATTGAAGATGGATCCAAATAGGAACAAGAATTGATATGTTTCAGAAGGCCATCGCTAGTAGGTTGGAGGCCACTTATGTTTCAGGAGCTTTTCTTTTTTCGGAACCACGACATGAGCCCTTCATGTGGCCTCCTCTTCTTTGTGTCCAGCCCAACTTGGATCATCCTGGCGAAGCGCAGTGGAGTGGTGTCCCGGTGTCTCTCCATGAGGATTATTGGCATTTGAGCAAAAGCCAAACGCACGTCTACGCACGTCATCTTACCTAGTAGCTTCTAGTTACTAGAAAGCTTTATTACTAAGAAGCTTCAAAGACATACTGAAAAGCTTCTTGCTACTAGTAGCTTCTTGTTCCTAGTAGTAATGGCCTCCGATGGCCTCCAACCTGCTAGCTTCTTGTTACACCCAAGTGGATCAAGAATTCTTCAACCAAAAAATACTTCAATGACTGAAACTTGTCTTTTGCAGAACTCCGACAAAAGTTCCCTTCTGAGGGCTCAGTCACACCTTGGTACAATCCGTGCCACCAGTCGGAAGAGCAAACATCTTTAAAACCAAAAAAAACACACACACTTGGAACATCTTAGAACCTGAACCAGATCTTGTTCGAAGACGAAGGGTGCGAAATATGTTCACAGCTTGATGTCTTCACGAATTTAGAGCCATCGCTATTAGGTGCTTATTCTCATTTTCAATTAGCTATTAGAGTCCGTACTCCGATTTCAACTCCTGACCGGAAGCGCCATGTTTGCCCCAATTTCGCCTGCAAGGGGGGATGGGATCGGGCGCACTCCCCCACGAAGGGAGGCAGCATTGGAAACGGCTTCCTGCGGAGCCGCAGGAGCAGGAGCCGTAGTTGAGACGAATTCTTCCTCTTCGAAGATTTTGGAAAGAATTTGGACGCTGGGACTATTGGGGCAGTTCCATCATAAAGTACACCTGGAGTCACACAAAATAGCTAATGTAATATACCAGTAGCCATAGCCTTGCAAAGTGTTTGGTGAAGAACGCTGGCATATCGTTGGCATGTTCCAGATTCACTGTTAGGATTAGAGGATTGCAACAGGTGTAAACTCATGGACTCATGAAGAGCTGTAATCTGCATGGTTTTGCCGAGGGTCAGAGACAACCTCGAATTACAACTTGGGCTTTTCTGCGACGGCGTTGTTCAACATCTTTGAGGGGGTTCCGATTCATTTAGAGTCAAGGGCATTTGGATTTCACCAGTTCTGCCCCTCGAGGCAGGTGATGCTCTAAGAATAGATGCAAAGAGAATCATCCATCCATTCAACCAAGAACAAGAAAGACCGAACACCACGGAACGCAAAGCATCGCTACTAGGAGCAAGGACAAGCAAAGAACAGCTGCATCTGTGGAGCACATACCCCGTTCGACCGAGCGGAGCGAGTCCGTCCCGAAGTGGTCCTCCGACTCCACAGGAGGCTCGGGTTCAGCCTGCACACAAGATAGGGAACCTAAGAGGGATGGCCCTCCACAGGAATGGATTATGTAGAGATCGTTCGAATTCGTTAGACGTTTCTCTCAACGAAAGAAGAGGCTTTTGGGGGAAATGGATTGCATCGTCTTAGCAGCTTGTTGCCAACCGATCTTTCTACCATCAAAAGCAATCCAGACTTTATGACGGAGTCCAGAATAAAAACCATGCGAATCAGGCAACATGTTCGCCGCGTGTCAATGGGTGCAGCTCCGACTGCCTCAGTAGAGCTTTCTGAGCCGATACGCTCCTTGTTGTGGGCAAACTCCTGGCGACCAAATGACCGGAAAGTTGTGCTTCGTGTGCTTCGTGTCAGACAATTTGTCTTGAAAGGTCACAGAACAAACCGGCGGAACATTCAACTTCCTTCCTTTCGTGGACCTATACGAAGTTCCAAGCCACAAGCCGTCCCATGGAGTTCAGAGTTCGTAGATGAAAAGCTTCCGATGCGTTCATCGCTTCCTTCAGATCGATGAGGTGGAAGACTTCGCTCATGATCATGTCACAGGCCCATTGCCCGATGACTTGGCCTTCCTGGGCCGAGTGTGCAGTGTGCAGAGCACGCAGTAGCTTCGACCACGGCAGAAATCGTTGGGTCTTCTAGAATGCTTCTGAAGCGCATTTCACTGATGCTTCCACTACCATTTACTTGCAATAAACATCGACTGCTTCCCCCACGTGCGATGACTGTGCATTCTAGCCGGATGCTCGTCTTGGCTTTGCACCGAAGGCATCGTGTGCGGTCTATGGAGTCCCTGCCAAGCAGAGAAAGACGTTTTTCAGTTGCGCATGGCCACAGGTCAGTTGTTGTTTTCTGTCCGTTTTGGAAAGAAACAACACATAAAGTTATAAAGCGCTCCACAGGTCTTTCAGTTGCCATGAGTTTTCCAGCATTTCTAGGTCCAGAAAATCACTTGCTTGCAGCGATCTCCACTGGTCAGTCCACTGAACCAAAAATTTGGTACATAGTCTTTTGAACTCAAATTAGTGTAATGAATAGAACAAAAAGCAAATTTCGTTTGAGTTACTAGTAGCGATGGCCTCCAACCTAATAGCGGTGGCCTCCTCCAACCTAATAGCGGCGGCCTCCAACCTAATAGCAATGGCCCAATGGCCTCCAGCCTAATAGCAATGGCCTCCAACCTAAAAGTGATGGCCTCCAACCTACATGACTTAGGCATGGATGTGCACCAAGCTTTCCTAGATTCCTGTAATCTTCAATCCTGCCTCCCCAAGAATTGATGTGGTCGTACAGCGATTGGCTGCTGAGTTGCAGCTTGAACCAAGCAGCTGCAAATACAAAGTTGATGTACACCAGGACATTGAGATGTGTGCTTACTCTTTGCTAGAGATCCAACCGTGGCAATCCACAGTGAGGTTTTGGAAGAGAGCTTTGTCTCTCCGAAGATAGGTGTTTGAGTCCAGCTTTGGGGCAGGGGCATGAGCCTTTGGCGGGACAAATGAATCAAACGGCTACAAGCAGCAAGGGTTAGTCACTTTGGTCATGTGTTCAACTGAAAACTCGTGGGTCCATGAGTTTAGCACTCGGGCCTTCGATCGCAGGGGGAGGAAGATGACGTGTTCAAGGGGAGACGTGTGGTTCCAATCTTCGATTTCTACCGTAGTAGTGGCCTCTCTCTCTCTCGAGACTGCCTCAGACTTCCTTGCACTTTTGCGCCTAGATGGGATTGGAACACATGCTTGACAAGCTCAGAATGACGTCAGCTGTTTTTCCACATCGGCAGACAGAGCCAGTCTTTAGTAGCGATGCCCTTGTTACTAGTAGCTTCTAGCTACTAGTAGTAATGTCCTTGTTACTAAAAATCTGCCTTGTCTGTACTCCATCGCACACAATTCATCCTCTGGGGGGGTCAAGTGCTCC